TAATCTCTTGTGTCTCGTAAGGTAACTGAATATGAATAATAATACTTCATAACTTCTGCCTTCACAGAACATCATGAAACTTTCTGGTATTTTGAATTTACAATGTTCGGAAACATCAAGATTCACTACCTGATTCTGGAAGGGTAGTTGAGGTCAGATTTGGCTGGCATAGTCGCGATCAAACTATCATCTAACGTGAAAATGTTCTTGACTCTGTTTGTGTTCGGCAGTTAACCTCTAATGAGGCGAGTGATTCTCAAAAGTTGCTGTGACACTCAAAATTCCAATATCTTCCAAAATAATTCCATTCACCTAGAATGTATTTCTTCATTTATTTTCGTTATCTGTTCCCTATTTTCCTAATTTCGGAAACACCCTGTATACTGGATTATTGATAATAATTTCATCAAATTTTGTTACTGTATGTTCACCTTGATAATATAGTCGTGTGTCAATAGAAATGAAAAAGAGAAAACTCACTCAAAGTGTAGAAAAAACTGTCGCATGTAGTGGCCATTGTTGCTTATTTTGTGAACAGACCATTCGGATCATGTTACTTGGTGTTCGGAAACATATGACGAGAGCCTATAGTTTTCGAACCATTCCCAAATCTCATTGCCAGATTGGTCATAGTGAATCACGTCATACATTATGGACACATGCGTATTCGCTTGTTGGTAAACAACATATCACGTGATAGGAATGGGTCGAAAGATTTAGGCACTTCTACCATATAAAGTGATAGTGCGTAAGATATATGACAGGTCCTAATTGCGCATGATTTATGTTCTTCAGTTGGATCTTGTGAGTGACATAGCTTCTATCTCATTGCATAAGCGGTGTAGATGAAAGTTTCAGTCAGTGATCCCAATCAGAAAGCACAGCTCATGATCAAGACGCAGCTATAATTAGTGCATGACAATCAATCACCTATGGATGCGTCACTTTCCGTGTGAGTTGTTAGTATCAGACAAAAATCAATAATTTTGTATCTTAGAAAATTCTTTGGTCCTGATTGGTCGTATGAATGAAAAGAAGCAACATTGACAAGGGCATAGCAATGATTTACAGCTAGTACATGGCCACCTTTGGACAGACTGAAAATAATGGAAATCAAATAAAAAGTTCGAATTCACTCGGATTGAAAGTAAGGTTTGTTAAATAGCAAGAAATGAAAACAACCAATATTAAAGATTCTTTTCCATACATAATCAATGGATTCAGAAAAATTTTCACAGCCAATTTCAACCATTCTTTCAATCGTTTTCTTGCTATGCCCTTGAACATCGAGCACACATCTAGCGTCACGACATCGAGTAAGAGAGAGAGATAGAGAAAGAAAGAGAGACAAAGAGGTTGTGGGGGATCCGGAAAATCCAACAAGTGTCGTTTGGGAAATTTATACCGATCGTCTGGAAAATACGCGGACGCGTTCACGGAGCAAAGAATTTTCTTGAAGGGTCATCAGGCATCGCGGAAGGGCTTTGAGGGTCTACGACTTCTACGAGATGATGTTGTTTCTGCACAAAATCGACATCTACTAAGGAAGGTATGAATTCGACATATACCGCTGATTCAATCCTCTCGCTCAAAAATTTATAAATGCGATGATGAAACTCTGAGAATTTTTATACATATTCCATGGGTTTTTTCCGATGTGTCTTTGGTATAATCATTTCTCAATTTGGAATGATCTTTTGGGCTCACGGGCATGTCCCCAAATAGGAACAAGTGAGAAAAAATAAAGAGAATTCTTTGAACTCTGTCATATTGAATAATAAACAATAGCAATCGCTTCATAGACATACGATGCCACCTGTAAACTCTTATTCAATCGATCGCAAGAACTCCTACCTAGTAAGAGGTATTTTGGTCATTCATCATACACTGAAATGCATAAAAGTGAATAAGCATAGGGTTGTGTGTACCTTGATGCCCTGTGCCGTTGACTCACAATGTCCACAAAACAGTACAACGCGATAAAAAAATCCTAGGGCATGAAATACACGAAAAATTATTGTTAAAAAAATTAGATTTAGAAAATTCAGCCGTTCGTCTACAGAAAAAAAAATTATTCTCACGGTTGCTGCCATCGAAATGTCATTCAATAATTTCCACTTCCTCAAAATATTCCTCAGATGACGTGTTTATCCTCAATATCATACAATCATAAGGAGAGATTGATATGAGAAAAAAGTGAAAATAATATGAGCTGTAGAATAATAATATAAAAATATGCTGCTTTTATTTGAGGACATGGTGAGGGGTTTGTACGCATCTAGTGCCTTACATTTGAAGTGGGACAAGAAAAAAATCCATCATTTACGAACCGTCATAACTTTGGATTGGATCAACCAATTCAAAATTTTTCGAGATTCTGATAGCTCATTCCATTGAGTACAACATCCAATATGTTCTCGTTATTCCACTGTTTCGAAATAATGACCTACAGAGTGATATCTTAGGATGTAATAATTTTCGGAAAGTTTCTGATCGGCCCGTTCCTCTGGGATTTTTATGTATGTTTCATCGAGGGCGATAAGATGAAGCAAGATGAGTTTTCCAAAAATAGGACAAGGAGATACAAGATGATTCTAAAACATAATGAATTTGGATATCTTCAATCATCATAAACACGACTTCAACAAAATTATAGATTGGCAGAACTTCTACGCTATGGATATACAATATGATATAAAGTCTCAAACATAGAAAATGTGAAAATAAATGAAAATTCTACGGGAGAATGCAGATAATATAACATTGTAGGTGAGAAAAATTAGACGTGAAATCGAAAATAAGTAAGAATGCCATGATTGGATTCCCCTTGACATATATCGTTCAAAAAATCAAACTCAGCTTACTTTCTAGAGTAGATTTCAACTACCTCGTCATGTATCCTTCTCATCAACTATAACTGGTAATCAGAATGGAAGATGGTTGAGTGAAAGTTGATGATATTTCCCACTATTCAGGAACATCGATAGCATCAACCTTGGAATACGTCGAACAACACTTTACGAAAACTCGTTCGTATATAGAACGTCAATGCTTTGGAATTCTTCTCCGATGGAAGTATTCCTTTGAACTCATTACCTTCAAGAGTTCAGAAAAACTTCCAATACGTACCACTTTCCCTTATTCTTCATAGATACGCGCGATGTTCCTCGAACATCCTAAGAGATTTCCTTCGTACGCTCCAAGAGGTGAAAAAAAATCTGTCGCCAAAAAGCAATTGGGAATCCAAATTATCGTCACGAAGGAAGACTCCATGAACGCCTTCTCAGTGCCAGAAGGCGGACATCTTGTTTTTTGTTTAATTCGAATCATACGGTGGCTCGAATAGTATCGGCTCAAAATCATTTAGAGTGGGAGATGATTGGAGTAGGTGCTTATTCGTGGATGAAAGAAGATATAATATGTTTAGATCGGATGAACCAATTCTAGTTTAGTATGGAAATATAGTGGCCAAGATGACTTTCGAGGTTGTTCGAATGATTGTTTTGAGGGAGAGTGAGAATCCTTATTAGTATCGAGACATGACATGGTTTGTGTGTTAGGGAAATTGTTGCACAATGCGGATTCCTTATTTACATATATATATAGTGTTAAAGACCCACTCAACCCTCACGACGATGGTGGCATGTGGAAGATCTAAATGTGTCACGATCAAGAAAGAGCAATCAATGTATTGTATATAATAGAGCTACGGTGGAGGCAACTAGATTCGAATTAGGTTTGTACATCATACGTGCGTCATGTCGCCGTAGGCAGGGTCATCATGGTAATCATCACCGCTCACCAAAGTAGACGAATTCCAAGTTACAATACAATCCAGAATTTTGAGTTACAATTCGGAATGTAGATTTACAATACGAAATTCTTAGTAACGACTGGGAATTTCTTAGTGGAAATAACTGTGGAGCTTCCGGGTTAGAAGTCGGAATTCAATGAAACACCTGAATCACAGAATCGACAATGACATTTCGATTTGAGAGGAGTTAAACCAAAAAGTTCCGAGTATGTAGTTGGAATTTGAATTGGCCTCGATTGAGAGATCGTAATTGAATAAGATGAGATTCCGAAATTGAAGTTTAATGAAACAAATGAAGTTTGGTCCTCATTAGCTTCCGTATTGTGTCTAATGGTGAATTTTGCACAATGAATAAAATGAGACTAGTTGTAGACTCATTCTTTCTGGAGGTAAAACATAACATTCTGACGTTTTCTGTCAAACCGATGATCCAATAGGAATGTTTGAATCAAACATCTCATTCAATTCAGCAAAGATAGCTTATGATGAAGAAATAATAATGAATGATGATAATAAATAAGTCCATAACAATATAATTGTTGTATATCCAGCAACAATACCTATCAAAAACAAGTTATGCTCAAGTAAAGTACCATGACAAGATTCAAAATATGAATCTTTCAAATATCAACGTGGCGGAACAGCAAAGTTCGTAGATTTTGTTCTAATTAAAGGTTTTTGAGTTATTGTGTGATTAGTTTTCGGTGTTTCAATAACTCTTTCGAAAATATGAACCATTTCGTGAATTATTATGGTTCGGCATTGTCTAATCTGTGAGAATCATTCTCTTCCTTCCACACTGGCAATGACATCCTACCTTCCGCGATTCCGTTCAACTATATTTGTTTCACTTTCAGGACCTTTGGCGTATACTCCTCAATGATTTATGAATGAATCGCGGTGAAAACCTCGTGTTATTTTTTCGGAAAGCAGACCCTCTCAGCCCTCACGACGGCGGTGGCATGTGACTGACTGTATCTAAAAGTGTCGCGATCAAGAAAGAGCAATCAATGTATTGTATATAATAGAGCTACGGTGGAGGCAACTAAATTCGAATTAGGTTTGTACATCATACGTCATGTCGCCGTAGCCCACGGTCGTCATGGTGACCACCGCCCACCAGAACGCGTCCGGAATTGACTTGAAGAAGGAATTCTCGCTACCGGCCTCGGCGAAGTAGACGGCGCTAGAGAAGAGCACGACACCTGTAAGGAAGGAGAAGAGGACCGGGTGAGTTAGACCATGGCTCGCGGCCGACACTGTACCTCATGTCGCCGTAGCCGACCGTCGTCATGGTGACGACGGCCCACCAGAAGGCGTCAGGAATGGACTTGAAGAAGGACTGCTCGGTGCCGGCTTCGGCGAAGTAGACGATCGAGGAGAAGAGGACGACGCCTGCAACAGAAAAGTGGGCCAGGCGGGCCGCGTATTGGCATTGTCTCCTATGGTACGAAGCAACCTGAGAAAAATGTATGCCCAATCGCGGAAGACAATGTCCCACGATTTGGCAATGATACGCGCGACATTCTCTCCTGCTTTAGGACGCTATGTGCTGAATATTGAAGCGTCTGGATCTTGGTAAAACTGCATTTAGCATGCGATGGGCTTCTTTTCGAAAATTTTTTTTTGGTACTTACGTATTTTTGTCTGAAAATCACGAATTTGATAATGAAAATGTGAACAAACCATTATTTATCAAGATATTTCACTATAAAGTTACAAATTTCACCTCCTTTTCCGCCTGTCTTCTGGATTGAATTTGAAACAATTTACCCTTCTTTTTTCATCATTGGACAATTTATATATATCACAATGTAAGACACATTTTTTTCTATAATTGAGTCAACTAGAAATATGATTTTCTTGTGATTCATTCATATTTATTGAAAAGAAGGAAGAATATCATTTGAAATAATGGCGTGTAATGTCATTCCAAATTCCAAAGCAATCTATTGACATTTGACATCTCGTATTCGGATTGCCTAATGCCTATGGATAAAATGGCCGTCATCTGGTATGCTTGCTCACTAAATAGGAAAAACGCACCATAAAAATCATATTTCTTGTTGAATTTTCTGTATAAAAATGTGTCATTGAAGTACATCATGTTTGTATGTATATCTAACCCCGCACAAGTTTCGACTTATGGGGCGTTTGGTCCCAGTGCTGGGACTAACGAGGAATGCAATTGCGAAAAAAAAAAATATATAAAGTGTCCAATGACAAAATAAGAAAAGCAAGTACCTGAAAATGCATCCAACGCAAGGGGAAGAAGGAGTCCAAATTTCGAACTTTTTTTCGAAATATCTCGATAGATAGTGGTTTCTTCACATTTTCATTATCAAATTCGTGTTTTTCAGACAAAAATACGTAAGTACCAATAAAAATTTTCGAAAAAAAAACCATCGCATGCTAAATGCAGTTTTACCTTGTATTCAGACGCTTCAATATTCAGCACGTAGCGTCCTAAAGCAGGAGAGAATGTCGCGCATATCATTGCCAAATCGTGGGACATTATCTTCCGCGATTCGGCATACATTTTTCTCAGGTTGCGTCGTACCATAAGAGACAATGCCAATACGCAGGCGGGCCGCGATTGTACTTAATGATTATACTTCACGCTGGCAGGAACCATACGCCCACTGTAATATGTGAGTCATATCTTCAAAGATCACCTTCATACTCGGCGTCATCACATCGCACTGAATATACTGTGCTCCAGCTTCCAGTAGAGTCATCGTAATATGCTAATAAAGTCTATGAAGAGTCACTTGAAACAACACATCACCGCAAGCCGTCGGTATTCCTTTGAAAGTTCAGAGAGAGCGGCCGCGCTGCCCGATATTCCTTTGATGTTCTGTATCAACTGACTGCATAAACTATAGCTTCATCAGGTTTATTGAATTATCGTGCTTTCAATCTGTTTTTGAAATGCGTGTAATTGAAGGTGGATGAAACATCGTTTATGATGACGAAAAAATTGATGAAAAACCAAGCAAACCTTATGAAATTGATTATAGAAGAGTTACTTAGTGGATTCCGACGTTTGCAAGTAGATGAACGCTTCCTCATTCCGATTACCATATTCAGCATCAATCAAGACTAAAACTGATTCATGTAGAATACCCCAATTATAGCATCCATTCTTCAGATAATGAATCAACTCTTTCTCTGAATTCGATCTTCGGTCTTGATTTTGTTAAAGTCTGGAATTAGACAGAGAATTCCGCTTATTTCATTGTATCTGAGAGATTCCTCTGAATATTTCGATCCATTCACTACATTGTGTATAGAAATCTATATCTTCTTCACGCCGATTCAAATTGCACCCGCATGTGTACTATTCTCAAAAGAAACTACTCCTATCATATTCTTCTGGTACGATTTAACGTATTTTCAACTGAGTTTCACCCATTTTGGAAACAAAATCGAATATAATACAAAGATGCGTCTATTATAATAGGTAGTTTTGCTGAAGCCCAGTATAGTGCAATGTGCTGACGTCGAGTGTATCTGAGTATATCGAAGATGTTTGAAGATAATGTATTACGGTGGACGGAGTTTGTGTTAACATACAGTATATTAGGTGAAGTCGCGATTAGGTATTGGCATTGTCCCCTAGGGTACGGCGCATACTTAAAAAAAGTATACCGCATTACGAAAGACAAAATGTTTCTCGATTTGCCAATAATAACAGGCTCAACATTCTCCTGCACTTAGGATGCACTAGATTTTTGCACAAAATATTTTGCAGACACAATATCTACTTTGAGAATCAAATGCGTGTTCATTGTAGTACATAAAAACAGTTAGATAGATTTTGATCTGATCTGATTATACTTTGGATTTATTTTTTGAGGTTTTATACCTGACTGTTTTCATTCCAAGTCGAATTTCACGCTTGGACTAAATGGTATGTGACATAAACTTGACTGCACTTGTATAGCAGTTATCAATTTGCTGAATTGAAACCAATTTCATGCATTACTCCGATGGAGTCACTATTTTGATAATTTTGATTGTAATTTCTGAAACGTATGTGCAGGGGATCAGACGGTTTCGAACATTTTCGATCCACTTCATATTAATCTTATCATTCATAAATGCAATGAGCACGAGAGCGGAAGGTAGATGGTCTTCGAACCTGTAAACTGAGGCAAACCATAACAAACAACATCGACACGATCAGAAGATGTCGTTCTTTCTACTCGTAGTAGAATCTACTGCCACGAAAATTAGGACTGAGGTGTTTTGAGATACGCTAAATTCGAAGAACCAAGGAAGCGTAGGGACACGTGGACTTCAGGAATCTCTAAATGGCTGGAATAATCTTCCTAGGTAGTTTTTCCATGCTACAAGTTCATGAATCTGATTCATAACCCGCGCCCATTTTCCACTCTCGCGCCCCCTCTCACGTGCACAAGGGGTATTTTTTTCCTTGAATACCATATCGGCGCCCGTGAAAAGTTCTCGAGAAGCATTTTTCTACTTTTTAAAAAAATCCTGGAATACACGTGCCACCTTCAGAAATCACTTCCTCGTTGGTCGGGAGAATTTGGTACAGGGTGATTCACCATAAATGTCCCTCCCTCTAGGTCACTCATTTTTGAACCGATTTGAGAATTTGAAGAATAATCTCAAATGATTTTTCAGAATTTTTTTTCTCGTTGCATCAGAAAATACAGGGTGCTCGAAACAAACAATCTACAGAGTACTACTTGATTTTTTCAAATGGAACACCCTGTGTTCCATTGTATTTTTAGATTCTTCCTGAAGAGCTGATTTCATCGATATATCACACTTGGGGTCAAGCGGGAATGATTACAGAAATAAAGGGTGTTCAAAATCGAGATCTTTCAACTTCAAGATTTTTTTGTGTCGAAACTTCAATGTTGGTCAAAACGGCTTCTATGTCCCTATCTCAACTTTTGATTTACTATCTACTGACATTTAATTGGGACATTTACAGGGTGGTTCAAGATTCATAATTCTGATCACCCTGTATCTGTTCCAATCATTAAATGTCAGTAGATAGTAAATCAAACGTTTAGATACGGACATGAAAGCCGTTTTGACCGATAATGAATAGTTTCGTCACAAAAAAATTCTAAAGTTGAAAAATCTCGATTTTGAACACCCTATATCTCTGTAATCATTCTTGCTAGACCCCAAGTGTGATACATTGATCGAATCAGCTCTTCAGGGAGAATCTAAAAATAAAATGAAAAATAGGGTGTTTCTTTAAAAAAAATCAAATAGTACCCTGTAGATCATTTGTTCCGAGCACCCTGTATTTTTTGATGTAGCGGAAGAAAACTTTATCGGAAATCATTTGAGATGATATTTCAAATTTTGAAATCTGTACAAAAATAACTGAGCTAGAGGAGGATACATTTATGGTGAATCACCCTGTACATGCATATTCGAATTAAGAGCCTTCCAAAACTCTCTAGTACTAATTTACGTGGTGTTTTGTTCAATTTGGCAGGTTTACCATATGCGATGCACTTCCAGATGCACTTTTATGCACCCGCGATGCACCTCAGCCACCTCTCGACAATGAAAGAGAAGGGACATTTATTCCACGGTTTTTTTTGATAATAATGAAGAAAATCGCATTCAAATCGGACTTGCACAAGAAAATTGCTCAATTTCCGGGTGAATCGTTCTAGATTGCCTGTTCTAACATGGTGTCCCAACGCAGAACAGAATGTAGAGCCAAATGATAAAAAATCGTGTAAAATCCTCTCACGTGATTCGGCATAAATTTTTCTGAGGTTGTATCGTACTACAGGAGAAAATACCAATGATAGTCGGGCCAGGCCGTGGGAGCGGAGACACGGCTACATACAGGGTGAATCAAGAGTACTCTGTCAAATTTCAGGCGGTGATTTGTCACAATATTCTGATATGAATCGTCCTAATGAGTGTATGTCCGCGAACGCTTCGTATCCAAGATAAGTGATCAACTTGAAATTTCCAAGCCCAAATGTCTAGAAAACTATTGCTCATAGCAACTTGTAACAGTGGTAGCTATTTTACGTAGATATAATTGAGGAATAATTTTTTTTTACACTAAAAGAAGTGCTAGTACGCTCGAAGAAATTAGGAATCTTCAAAAAAGAAGGAGACGTGTAAGTAGCGCCTATTATGGGTAAGAGCAATAATAACAATAGGATCGACTTTGACACCTCAAAACACTTCGCAGTAGCAATTTTCGTTCGATCAAGTTCATTATTCCGAATGTTATTGAAAAAAAGACAATAAAAATAAAACCCTAACGCCCTGAATCTTCGAAACGAAGCTTATCTGGACTCATTTGTATCTGGACAATTCAAATAAGAAATTGCGAGGTATCACCTCATGAATTTTGTCAAAGTACTTTTGAATCACTC